AGCGAATGGAAAGAATAACAATTACGCATGACTCATGAATTTTGTCTACCTATTTCGATTAAGTGATAAGTCTTCCATAAGTTTACAAACTCCAGTGTTACGTTGACCGTCTCGCAATGACGTCATAATAATCAGTGGCAGGTTCAAGTGGGGCCGAGCCGACACTAATTTTTTCAAAATTATTTTTTAAAAATGGAAAAAAAACAAAGGAAAATTATAATTGGAATTTAGGTCCGAGAGTGCCATTTCCGGCAATCTAGAGGTGTCAAATAAACAATTTTCTTTCCTCAGCCCCAACCATGGTGGGGCTGAGGTGATCTACTTTCCCAACATGCAAGTCCCTCCCTGTTCCCCTCTAATTTGCTTTCCTGCAGCCGCCACTGATAATAATAAATTAAGTAAATCAACTTTATGTTTGTGAAATCAAAATGCTAACTTATGTTTTGTGTGCTCCCTATCTCCCTAGTCCTGTTTGGTCGTAAATTCGACCGTATTATTTCCACTCACAATAATTTATCGCAATATTACTTACACAAAAGTGAAATTCTGAAAGAGGAGAAAAGGAAAAACCTCTTGATTGATTTTAAAAGTACTGTACATGCAAAAAGACTAAATTAATGACTGTTTTAAGTTTATCTTATTTGTTTTTCATAGTTCGAATTTTGAATACGTTACAAGCTAATCAGTAGATAATACAGTAAATCATTATTTTTATGAATTTTAGTTTGCACGAAATATATAAGCGGGCATAAATATGACTAAAAAGGATAATTATAAAAACTTTTTATGATGAGTATTTCAGTGGCAGATTCAAGGGGCCCAGCCGGCCCATCATTACTATTTTTTTCCCGAAATTTAAAAGTGCAGAAAAATTAAAATTATATTCCAAATTCAGTCTGAGAGTGCCATTTCCGACCAACTGGAGATGCCATAATCATAAATTTTCTTACCTCAGCCCCAAACATGGTGGGGCTGAGGTGGTATATACAGCTACGCTCTCCATCTGTAAAAGTCCTTCTCTGGGCCCAGTCTATTTCAAATTACTAGATCCGCCACTGGATATTTTGAAAATTTCGTATGGAAATAAATGTTAATTGCATTGCTTAAAATCAATTAATATGCTATATGCGCCAGAGCTTCTCGGAAACTTCGTCCCCTGGTCCCCAACCATTGCTTGGGCATACGGCCCAATGCTTTATTTATCATCTCGTCCCCCCTCCCCCCCCCCGGATCGACGCCCTTGGTTTCCCCTCTTACCCTGGTGACGTAATGATGATGAATTTTACTAAAAGAGTATCATTTCCGGTCAGTTAGAGGTACTACTTACCAATTTTCGCGCCTCAGTCCCATGGGCTGAGATGGGTATGAACTCACGGCTTAAAGTAGGTAAAGTGAAGTAAATACGTCAAGACAAAAGTTTTATAGTTTTATTTTCAATGGTACATAACACAGATTAATTAGATCGCTATGATTGCCGAAAATCTCTGATAGAAGATTATGAGAATTGTTGGCGCTTCATTTTGACTATAACGGTGATGTGATGATGATATTGATTTTTTTTTCTATATAAGAGTGTCATTTCTGGCTATCTAGAGGTATTACCCAACTTTTCGATCCTTAGCCCCAATGGTGTGGCTGAGATGAGTGTGGACTCACGGCTTTGAGTAGGTAAAGTGAATAGGCCTACATAAAAGACAATGTTTTGAAGTTGAATTTTCTATGGTAGGCCTACATCACATAGATTATTTAGATCACTATCAGTGCTGAAAATCGATGATAAAAGATCATGAGAAATTTGTTGGCGCTTCATTTTGACTATAAGTTTGATGTGATGATGATGCATTTTACTATGAGTGTCATTTCCAGATCTAGCTATAGAGAGTGATTTTCTCATATTTTTTGCACCTTAGCGCCAACCATGGTGGGGCATAATGGTGTTTCACCGAATAAATCCAATCCAATCCAATGATCGCAAAAGTTATTTTCCGGGGTTCCAGACCATCCGATTCGGTTTTTGTGTTTCGTTTTCACTGTATAGTTTTATATTTATAGTTTTTTTTTATAATGTTATCTGTATGTATATATTTGTGTATTACTCGCTCTGGAAATAAAATTTCATGTACTTTGCTTGTATATGACAATAAATGAAATTTTGAATCTTGAATCTTTTATCTTTTATTTCTGCGAGTCGAGTCAAGAGATTAGCATTTACACTGTACATGCAAAAACTCTCATCAAGTCGCAACAAAAGCGCGCCCTCTATTTAATACAATGCAGTAAACTTTGTGTTTGTTGCCAGCTGCAGGAAAAGCGTGTGTGTATCATGGGTGTTTGAAGGCCTGAATTTTCGTTATTTCAAGGTCATTTCAATACAATTTCTATCAAATTTATTTGACGTGGCCGCTCTGAATGTGAAGATATTAGAATAAGCTTATTATTAGGGCCTAGGCTTGCTAGGCCTGCTGTCTCCTACTAGGGCCTACGTAATAATTACTACCTAGGGCCTAAGCCCTAGCCTAGCCTAGCTCAGCCTAGGATAATTGTGTAGCCTAGGCTAGCCTATTTATCTATTTCTCTAGCAGCAAGGAGGTCTGCTAAGGCCTACTGTAGTGTAACTTAGTACTGCTACTAGGGTAGGCTAGGCCTTAGAGAGAAAGGAGTATGGCCTACTTACAATTACATACACGCAAGGTCTGTCTCGCCTTACGCTCAACAAGGACCAAAATCTCTCATAAATGTAATATTGTCAAAAATATATATATAATTTGTAGCTATCGCACTAAATATTCATCATTCATACTGTACTTAAAGTTAGTTTTGTTATACATTCAAACACAAATATATGGCGCACTACAACTGGGTTAAGTTTGATTTGCTTTCTATTATAACACCTCTCATCCAATCAAATGGAGTTGCCTTAAATATCGCAGACCATTCACGTCGCACGGTTTACATTTTTCTAGCGGAGTAAATCATGTTTGATACAAATTTCTCAGAGAAACTTACAATCAAGTTGGCAACAACCAACAAACCAGCACATTTGTTTGATCTGTCTTCCGAAATGTTCAAAACGGCCAAAAGAAAGAGCACTGCTCGAACTAAATATGTTTAGAGATATAGTAATATTTTTTTCCTGATGTCTCTTTCATTACAGTATTATATAATTTTACTTTTTTTTATTGGTATCTCATGTATTGTTCGGTAAAAATTTAAATATTTCTCTTAATAATAGTTTTTCGATCAAATAAGATCAAACTAGCTGCATCAAGAGGATCAAAGGACACTGGGGAAGAAAAGTCTGGGGCAGGGTGGGCATGCCCCAGACATTTTCTTCTAGTGGAGGGGTTTTTAAAACAAAAGTCTCGCGTCTGCAAATTAGTCGAACTTTGCATGTATGTAATTACTAGGCCTGCCTATACTAGCCTATGGTATGCCTAGAGAATCACATGACCCTCCAGTTCGAGACCACTTTTTCAAATTCTCTTCAGATGTTGCAAGTGTAATTTTTCAAGACAACTTGTCTTGGCAAGCCCACATCGCTTGTAAAAAGTGCAAAGATGACCTACAAACTAAAACGGTCACATTATTTTCTCTGCTCTGTCATTAGACTGGTCTTGACCCAAAAGCAACAAAATCAAATAGAAAAAATCCAAAAACATGCATTTAAGAGCATCTTGCCCAATATCTCCTTTGATTCTGCCTTGGTCATTTTCAAATTACCTTGTCCACATGACCGCTTATTGCAATTATGTAAGCAGTACTTCCTGAAGCTGAAGGATAGAGATCACCAACTGAATTACATTCTATCCCTTTCCCTGACCACAATTACAACCTGAAACAAATAGATACAACAAACTATTAAACTATGGTATTTTTACATATTTTTTTTTCATTAAGAGTGCGTATGTGATCAGATTGGCATGTAGTGAATACTACAAGAACTACCAACATTTTAGCTTTACTATGGTACCAACCACTTTATTCTAATCACAATCTGTGACACGAACAGTAAAATGAAAATGACTCACTTTTGGAGATTTACGCAATTTTGCACAATGAAGCTGAGATAATCGCGATTTCATGGAAGTAAATCAATACTGCTCTATGCTAATGTAAACAAACAAATAGTGAAATACTTACGATCCAGACTGAATATAGTGTTCAAATTGTTAGTACATGTCGGTAATTACCCCATATATCGGATTCCGTAAAAAAACCTGATACACGGAGATCTCCTTGTTTGGCAGTCAAGCGTTGCGTTACCAAAAACAGAGATCTCCGTGTTTGGCAGGCAGAGTGGTAATGAACACTAGAGTGTTAATGAATGCTAATTCACTCTGTGTCCTCCTCCCTTGACCAATGGTTCCCTCAATTTTTTAGGTTTTCTTCATTGTCTCCTTTTTTTTTTTTTGTATGTTTTATTGTTTGTCATTTTTCTAGTATTTCTCCTTTTTGTGTTTTTGGTTTTACATTAAATTTTAGTTTCATTTTTGAAATTTTGTCTGTGCATTTTTCTGACCTGTTAGCTTTTTTTTTTTTAATTGAATTTTGAATAATGATTACGAATATTTGTGTGTATTTTTGATATGACTTGAATCTTAATTGCATTTTATTGTAAATTTAATCTATGTATTTTTCATATGACTAAAATAAAGAGAAATTTAATTGATTGATTGATTGGTTGATTTGAAGTGCGACTGAACTAGGCCAAGTAAGTGAAAGCTTCATTACACAATGCTAGTGCAGTTTGTCCATTGCATGATAGACGGTGACAGCAACATAGCGCAGAAAATCAGATGAAAGGAAAATGCATTTTTTAGGATTTGCAATCCATTCAACTGTCCTAATATTATAATATGATTATTTGCCCAGTAAGTAATTCATCCTTTCAAAAAACGCAAAATGTTGTCAAAGTTACAGTATTAGGCATTTTTCGTTTTGACTACGCGGCCAGTCCACTACGAACTAATGGAGTGTGACGGCAACACCAAGACAATGTTCGCGTGGTAGACCAAGAGCTGTTTTCGTTTTTTTAAGGCGACTACGACGACGCAGCACACACGTAGGCCTACGGAGGGGAGTTAGTCGACCATGGTTTTATTACCAGAGAACAAATGTTCCCTTGTTTTATATTTGAAAAAGGAAATGTGAAAAAAAAAAACTTTAGCCAAATACTGTATACAAAATAAAAAGTTTCCAATAAACACTGAGTGATGTTTCGCTGTTGGCTAGGATCTAGGCCTACCTAGGCTAGGCTAGGCCTAGCCTAGGCCCTGGTGTCAAAAAAAGAGTCGTTACCGGGAGTAGAGGGGTGTCAGGCCTGCTCAGGCAATTTGCCAAATGCAACGATGATGTACAAATAAATAACAATTTTAAACAGAGGTATTTTAATTTATATAGCAAGGCATGATCCACGATATCAAGGGCGGATGCCCTAGCTAGCGGCACCAGATAATGTGTTTTCTCCTAGCCCTACCCGAAATCCACCCTGACAAGGCTAGGCTAGCCTAGGCTAAGGCTCTTTTTTCACTATCCCCTGATTTACCTAAATTTATGTTGTGACTATTCATTCCTCATTTATTGCATGTGTATAAATAGGCCTTTATATAAAACATTTAATTACTCACGTACTTGTTTTAATAATTAATTCATTATAAACGAACAATGCTCGATCGCGGATGCAATGAAAAATGCAACCCCCAACAAAAAAGTTACCAGCAGTTTGCTAAACAATCCGGTGATCTGATTGGTCACTATTAGGGTAGTCGCCATTACGCCAAATTCAGAAATTGGGGTTGTCGCGGAAGCTGTCACAACGCCGATTTAGCCAGTAAGGTTTGTGAGCATGCGCAGATGTCTGTTACGCTCTATTAGTTCGTAGTAGACTGGCCGCGTAGTCAAAACGAAAAATGCCTATTGTAACCAAGTAGTAAACGGAAAGCATATTTGAGGCCCCTCATGCTGGCGATGTTGCCACTCTCTAATTGTAACCCACCCGAAAAACCAAAAAATGATCCAGGGTTTCATCGAAAAATTTCCATCAATGATTTTAATAATTGAATAAAAACAGAAAATTTTGGAACAGGCTTCATTGAGATATCTACTGTCAGCCATGGCATACTGTACAAGCTTTGATACTCTGCACCAGTGTATAATTCAGTATCCATAATTTTATTTCTCAAATGTGATTGTAGTCAAACAATGGAAAACCTTCATGTACAGGTGTCAGCTACCAAGAGAAATTTCTTAAATCAAAACTATGTAAATGTGAAGAAGGCAATAACAGCAGCATTTGAAATAGTTGAGTGAATGACTTTGATTGTATCATAGTTTGTTCATTCAATCAGAACATGTTCTGGACAAATACTGTTAGCGACTAATTTTTGTGGTCTTAATAAATTAAAATGTGTAATAGAAACACTAGAAATAATTTTTTGGCCAAGGGCACATTTTCATGGAATTGCCCAACATGTACTATATTTGAAAATGTCGAAATGTTATTTATATTACAAAATTTTTACTTTAATAAAAGTTACATTACTTGGTTTTTGCATTTATATTCTTTATTATTTTGTTAATTAATACATGTACATTTTTTTCTTAATTGGTATTACGATACATATCTGTATGTATATCAACATAATGATGAGCACCCATTTTGCCACTTTTTTAGTATGATATAAGCAAAGTAGCATCTCAAAACAATATGTGTCATAAAGGAAGGAAAATGCACCATCCCTATGCACTCATTCAAAAGAAAATCCTGTATGCTGATGAGTTTAAGCTAATTGATAGCTAATATGCAGGTAATAATTCTATTCAAGGAACATAAAAAAATCTCACTTGAAAGTGTTGTGGGACCTTTGATCTTGATTTCAGAAAAATGAGGTTGCTCTACTTTTTCCTTTGTTCCAACACCCAGCATTACTCGAAGCATTCCCATTAAGTATTTACCCCATCAGTTATAATTTATCAGGGCTGTTAGATTCTGGGTTCATTCATTTGTGACCTGTTTAACCTTTGTTTCACCAAATACGAATTTATGTGAAATCTGAACAATTTCTTTTTTAGATGATGATCATAATTTGGTTTGCAATGCACTATTCATAAATAAATTATTAGTTGATAATATTTGTATTAGATGGTTAGTAATAGTTGAGAAGATGCTTGACAATAGAAACCTGAACTTAATGATTATTTATTTGTTTATTTTTAACAAATTCTGTATATTTTTGTAGTATCAAATCTGAAATAATGTTTGATAATTTTTGAGGGTCACCTTGAAATATGTCTGAGATCAATCACAAATTAATTTAATTAATTATTTAAAGTTTCATATTTTTCTGAAAAGTTACAGTAGTCCTACTTTATTACAAGATGGTATACATGACATTTTTATGGTAAAGTATGATCTGTCTGTCATTAGGGTTCCAGTAAGTAGGGCTACCATACCATATGATAGTTAGGTCTGTCATTAAGGTTACAGTAAGTCATTTTTTTGTAAAGGTATAGTCGGCAGGGGGTGGCGCCAGGGTTTGCCCGAAGTGGTGGCCAAGGTCCCCGACGAGAGCATAGTGGGTGTGGTTGGGTGTTGCTCAGAATCTTTCAAAAGTGGTCGGGGTGGGGGCCAAAGTCCCCCCAAAAATATGAGAATTTACGCGTTTCAAATGCTTATTTCTACATATGTAGAAAATACATGATTTTTCCTCTCCCGACGAATTGTGGTTTTTCTCCCCGCTGTCGCCACCCCTGATGTTGCGCCTAACTATCATATGGTATGGTAGCACTATGTATCCATTTTTCTGTCTTAATATATTATATTTTCGCTAATAAACATGCAACACTGAATATGCAGACGGAGTGGAAGGGTGGGGGGAGTGTAAGACAAAGTATATCCGTTGGAAGCATTTGGCAAGTGGTCTGGCCCATTACGCAAATATACTAAAGTGGAAATTAAATACCGGTAATAGCAAGAGGGATCCGGGCCCTCCCCAGAAATATTTATTTTCCTTGATGCTAGGAAATGCTACTACATTTTGAGGATGTACGGTAAGAATGGCCCCGGTAAAAATGGCTCAGGAAACAATGGTCCCGGAAAAAATGGCCCCGGCAAAAATGGCCCCGGCAAAAATGGCCCCGGCAAAAATGGCCCCGGTAAAAATAGCCCCAAGTGACAGGTGGGTAAAAATGGCCCCAATAATAAAATTCTGTATTAAAACTGATTTTTTTAAAATCATATGCATTTTTATAACTAAAATAATTTAGTTTTTAAAAGGAATCTAACATCAAATAAATTGCCATTTACATTTTACTTTTTGGATATTCAATGATAAAATATTCACAGATAAAAAAAAGCCATGAATAACACTTTATTTTTTTTCCATTAAAATGTTAAAAAATAGCAACAACATAATCAATAAATCAACATAAATTATGCATTTATTAATACTAAAATAATTAATTTGTGGCCAATTTCACGGAAGCGGAATTACAATTTTCTAGAAATTCAATCCGGGTATTCGTAAACCCCACAAACAATGGGTTGATATGAACATCAAATTATTATTTATTTTTTTAAGAAAAAGAGAGTTCTACAATCATAATTAAAGGGTTTGGATGGGGTTCGCAGTGTGTTTGGAGGTTTGTGGTGTATTTGCAAGTATTTTTTCACAAAAAAAAATCAACATTTTAGCTAAAAAATAGGTTCTTATGAATATTTAATTTCTTATTGATATACCTAGTGAGTCAATCACAATTGAATTGTTTGGTTTTCTACAGTGTGTTTTGGGAGGTTTGTGCGATTTAGCAATACCATTATTATAGTAATAATATCTAATGATAATAATTAAATACTTAGACCTAACAGCCGCCCATACAAAAAAGATCTATTAATTAGTCAATCAGCAGGGTACTCCTAGAGCTACTCATAGGAGTTAAAAACTAAGTTATTTTAGTTCTCAACTATGCATATGGTTAATGTTGATTTATTAATTCAATTTTTGCTACAGGTTATTTTACAGCATTTAAATTTTTTTTATTTTTTTAACTTTTATAATTGAGGGCCATTTTTTTTATTTATTGATTCCATTCTTGCTTATTACATTATTTAAATATTTGAAGATTTGAAAAAAAAATATCATTTCTATTACTGAATTTTTTCATTGGGGCCATTTTTACCTACTTGTCATTTGGGGCCATTTTTACTGGGGCCATTTTTACCGGGGCCATTTTTCCCTGGGCCATTTTTACCAGGGCCATTTTTACCTACAACCTATTTTGAGAGGCCTATAGGTTGACTAAACATCCTACAAATTTCAGGTTTTTCTGTTTTAATGTACTATGATATTAATATAACAGTATTTTGGATAGACAAAAATAAAATCATACTGTGCACATTTTGTCCCTAATCCTTCCAAAATTCGGCATGTACATGGAACGAGGTAGTTTGAAGGGTGTCTGGGTTCTTTAGATAAGCACTTTCTTTCATTATTTTTTTTTTTTTTTTCAAATTTCAGGGCTTCTACTGTGTTAGTATGGAAAAAGGATGATGATCATGACGCTGATAACAGGACGACGGATCCTTTCATAGGAAGGATACAAAGGCATAGTGTAGAAGAGTGTTGTCTTTGGCTTTCAGGTGACTGAGTCTACCCTGACATTGTTTTTGCCTTTGAACAAACTCTGTAAGTGAAGACATAAACCATTTGAAATCTTAAAACCAATGATTATTCTGGAAATTCCAAATTATCGTAACAAGTACTTTAATGCTTTTAACCTAGTATTTAGTAATGTGTTTCCAAATTACAGTACTTCAGTAACTTTTCTGAACAGGAGCATGACTAGGATTTTTGGCGGCTGAGCCGGAATGGAAATGGCACCCCTTTCCTCCTTGGAGGTTTTTTATTCTGTGAAAGAAAGGAAAAATATGATCTTTTTGGAATTTGGAACTATGGTGTAATAGTACTTGATTTTATGCTTCTTTTTTCCATATGAAATGTTTTTTTACACATATCTGAAGTGCAATATAACTATTTATTAGTTCAACTCATAATAGGTTTCAACTATTGATTGAACGATTTTAATGTTCACAGTAACTCTACCTATACCTTTTTTTAACCAACATAATGTACTACTATTTTGTATCTTTTATTTATTGTTTTGTTCTTTTTAGATAACCATTTTAATTATTTGTCTGCAGTGATTTTTCATATGGCTTTACATTTATAAATATTTATTTGTCTTGTGCTGTTCCCCATAAGGCCTTGGCTGGAGTAAAAAAAAGCAGTCTAGAAAATATGAATACTGCCCTCTGTTGATGAGTAAGATCAGTTTGCTAATGATGAGTAAAATTATTGGACCTCCTTGGAGCTGCTGAATTTTTGGTAAGCTTATTATTCATGTTTATTGTTTCCTGTTAGTATAGAGAGTTGGCAGATCATTGATTATTCATGCATAACTGAAGTGAACGACAGCCCTCATGCAATTATGATATTGCTTACTGTCGACATGTATTGTTTTTTATCCATTGCACAGTAATAGAAATGTTGAAATTTTTGTGTGTGGTAAATGAGTCTCCCTTGCACACTAATAGTATGCATACTATGATCTTGTTGCAATGTTGTTAAAGTTATACAATAATTTTTATAAAGAAAATTTTGTAAAAATTTGTTGGATCGTTTTAATATGTTTTCTGTATTTCTTTAGGATATGCACATCACTTTTGACTTTTGTGTGACAGTTGATATGTTATTGCTTGGCATTATATTCATTTGAATATATTCATACATTAGTTCATTAGTATTAGTATTAACTGATTTAATGTTTCTGAAACATTTCTGAATTCCAAAAGCAAAAAAATAATGTTAATCAAACCAGATTTTTAAAATTTTAACATTAATGAAATTGATAATCCAAAAATCTAGATTTCATGTTTCAAATAATAATACTGAAAATTTCATGAAATTGAATGTGGTGTTGAAAAGCTAGCATGGAGGTATTACTTTGACACAAATGAGGCACATTGCTGCGTTACTTGTCTGCTTAACAAAGGTAATTGTAGATACAGATAAAATCCAAATGGTTTTTAATTACAGAATTTTCTTCTTTAAAACAATATTTAAAATGGCTTTGGAATTCATTATTTTAAAGAATATTGACTTGACAAAAGAAAAACTTTAAATAATCTGATTACTGAAGATCTAAATTACAAAAGCAGCTACCGTAAGTTCATAAAATTGGTCAAATATTCTGAAAAGGGAACATTCACACCAGTTATATTTTATATGCCTAAAAGTGGTGAATATTATTATTAATTAGAACAATTCTAAATTTATTTGTTAATTGTGTTTCATAAAGCATGATTCGATGATGATAATAATAATGATTATATATATACTGTCTCTTATACACATCTAGATAATAAGTTCTTAAAAGTATTTTAACTTCTTGGGTAATTACAGTAATATCATTATCAGTCAAAAGAATACATTTAATAAACCTATAGTTACATAAGGCAGAATATGTAACTAAGCATGAATAAGAATAATCATTATTAATCAAGAAGGAATAACTACAAACTACAAAACAATTTGATAATATAAAAATCTTCTATTAGCAGACTAGATCTAATTTTGAAGGCTCATGAGTGATTAGTGTAGGACAGCGACATATTGACAGGCTGCACATGTCAACAACATACTCTTACAACATGTAATGTACCAATCTTACCAATCGTTCTCACAATTGATTAAAATACTGGCCCTCCTACAGCTCCATTTTATTTTATGTTAGTCGTTAGAAGTTTTTCATAAGGTCGAATGTTCTATTCAGTCCTAGAAAGCATTGGTTGTCCTTGTTTATCGTTTGGAATTAAAGTGTAATTTGTGCAATGTGATATTGGTAAGTTACAAATTGAATTATTCTTTAGATGGCTTTTAAATGTTGAAATAGTTTCTGAAATGTATTTCATTCTAATTGACATCAGAACATTTAGCAACAACCAATATAAATTAACCAAAAAAATACATACCTTATATGGCATAGTTTTTTGCAGATTAATCTTTGGAATTTGTGTTTTTTAATAAAATGTTTATACAGCCATCATTTTGTTCATTCTTTATTATCTGTTTTATGTAACCATCTAGAGGCAGTAAATCACAGTTGATTGAGTAATAAATTTTAAAATAATAAACAGTTAGGGCTAAAATATAAGTGACCAAAAATTTACAGTGTAACAGTTTAACAGAAATTCTGACCAAAGATTGATTATAACCACAAGCTCATAAATCTGTACTTTAAAAATCTATTTTGTAACAAACTTACTATGATTTTCCAAACTGGGGATCTTGAAGAACATGACTGGATGCATGGAAAGTGAAGCATGCATTTGAGCTGAAATCAGGGATTTGCCTTGTGCCCCTCGTGCAAAAGCCTTGTAAGTTCAGGCATTATTGAAATTTCTTAAGATTTAATCAAAGATAACTCATATACATTTTATGGATAAAATCTTTATTAAGATTTTATCCATAAAATGTATATGATATTATGAGTTATCTTTTATTTTATGTAACTTTATTTATTATTTTTTATTTGGACATCAAGGCTTTGTATTCTGAATTTTATTACATTGATCACACAAATACAGCCTATACAGTATGTTTATTGATTAGACCTATCAGTCATAATATTGGATATACATATTTCAAAAGGCCTATACATTTCACATTTGCAAGAAAAGTGAACAGTTAATTGAAATACAAGGACCTCCATTAGTTTCAAGAGCTTCCTACTTCATTGTTCTTTTTTTTAGTGCCCCATAAAGAAAATTGTATAAAATATTAATTAATTGGTTGATTGATTAATACTAGTGTGTAATATCACACTGTATCTTTCGTCATATACCTATTTCTTTTCTCCAACAGTGCCAAGTCCTGTGCCCCTCCCACTTTGTTGCCACAACTGAAAACACACATACAATAATTCTAAATGTCATTAGGTATTATATATTTTATTGTCCAAGGTTAAGTTCTAATTTTAAAACAAGCATACAGAAGCATAAATGTGGTTTCACCACATGACATGACCCATGGGATTGTACTTTGCAGCTTGAATATGTTATTGCCCATTCTGAAATTTATTAGTAGCCTATATTATAGACCTAGATTGCAATCTTTTTAGATGAAAGAAATGGCACGATGTAGAGAGAATTAACAACCATTATGATGAAAGACTAAAATCTTATTGTCCACTCTGAAATTTATTAGTAGCCTATATAGGCCTAAATCTTTATGGATGGAAGAAATGGCATGATGCAGAGAGAATTAACAAGCATGATGATGAGAGTTTGAAATTTACAGTATATCTTAGTATCTGCTTCCCTCATTAATCAGACATGTTACCCATAAAGGACTGATTGAACTCTGTGTCGTATTATGAGGAAACGTAAAAAGGTGATTTCATTATCTTATTGCACAAATTAAGCTCTTATTTTAAAGATGTACTGTCCCTTGCAAAAAAAAACAAAAAAAAAATCATAAAAATCATTTTTTTGAAATTTACTTGCCCATTTTGAAGTAACATAAAAATTATCAACTTAACATAGAAATTAGTGTATTTAAAAAATACTTACCCATAAAAACATCATTTTACAGCGAAAAATGATAGAAACACTTCCAGTCGCTGGAAGTGTTTTATTATTTTTATTATAATTATCCAGTTAAAAAATCAGGGAACACATTTTTTAAATTTAATAATTTCCATGCTCAAGTTAATAATTTGTATGTTACTGCAAAATGAGCAAGTTAATTTAAAAATATTTTTTATGATTTTGGTCATTTTCAAGGGAAAGTACTTTTTTAAAGGGAATTGAATGTTTAAAAAACTGAAATAATAGTTACAGTAGAAGTTAATTATTATGTTGATATAGTTCATTAAAACAAGCTAGGGGGTTGTTTTGTTTCCCTTGAACACATTTGCTTCCAATTATTATGCTAATGATACTCAGTATTGTTTCATCAAAATGTTGGTTGTTATGTGGAATAAGGGTGGGTAAGGAAGGGGTAAGATGTAGGATAGGAAGATGAGAGTTAGGAGTAAATAGGTAAGATGAAGGATGACGATTAGAGAGGCAAGTAATATGTACTTGGGGAGATGAGAATTGCGAGTACTAGAGAGATGGGTTTGATGTAGGATGTGTAGAGTCTGGAGTGAGAGAGAGGTATGGGGTAATGAGAGTCTAAATTAGGGAGTTAAAATGTAGGAATTGGAAATGTATATGGTTAAACATATAAGTATTTCCCTGTTTGGAGTGTCTGCAGATATTATTCTCCTGAAGACGATTGAAGCATCTCGCTCGAAACGTCGAGACTTCCTCAACAACAACAATTCTTTTCAGAACTACTTACGTGGTGTACCACAAGCTTCAACATATATAAAAAGTAAAGAGGTTGGCAAGAGTATATTATGTGGACAGCGTTGGGGCTGGAAGGGCCACTGCCCTGGGAAAAAACATCCTTTTTTTTCTCAAGCTCTAATCTTTATCATTATGTCTGTAAATACCACCCACCGAGGCTCTGCCCTTGGGCAGTGGTGTAATGAAGGGGCCGGAGGCCTGTGGGCAGGGGCCCTTTAGAGGCCCCAGATGCATTGCTAGGGCTGGATATCAATAATAGGCATATTATAATACATACCAAACAAAACAAGCCAATTAAAATCAATAAGTATAGACATTTATTTTACAAAATGTAGACTGGCGATAGTGTTGATAATAAAAATGCCCTAATTACTCAGCAGACTTGGAAAAAGGCCTTGGTTATTAATTTGTAAAAAAAAAAATTAAATTTGCTGGGCCCCTTGAGGGACTGGGGCCTCTGGCTTTAACCAGTGAGAGCTCATAGCTGTTACGCCATTGCCCTTGGGCCTTTGCCAGACCCCCACCATTAGGGCTCGGATTAAGCTGTCCCATGGTAGGGCAATGCCATAGCCAGGATTTTCAAACTGTGTGTGACAATATCAGGGTGGACCCACTTTACACAAAAATTCAAATAATGTAAAGTTGTCCCATTTTACGCCAAAATATGAATAATCTGGACCCATTTTCTTTAAAATTGACCCATTTTAGGCAAAATATGGGAAGTCTAGACCCATTTTCTTTCGAAGTTGACCCATTTTGCACAAAATATGAGAAATCTGGACCCATCTTCTTAAAAGTTGACCCATTTTACACAAAATATGAGAAATCTGGACCCATAATTGTGTGGGATTGTTCCAGTAGTTGGCTACAGCATTTGTGGTAGGTTACTTTGTAACTGGACCGTTTTGAAAATCAGTACTAGGATACTGAAAATGCAATCCAGTAAAAAGGAAGAATAAATAAATGGAGAGAGATGGGTAATGCAAGGTTTTTTATACCTTGTGTAGCAAACTTTTTTTTAAAGATCGTCAGAGGAGCTCGAAAAAGAATCCTAAAACCTATATCATCGCACTCTCTGACAAATATTTAAATAAGAAATATTTTACCAGCTTTATAGAACAAAGATTAAATTCACCTCCCACACTGATTCTCTGCCTTGATACCAATGGCGGCGGAAGCAGGGGTGGGGGCAGGGGGCCATTTTCCCACCCACTTTTTCTACTGGGGGGGGGGGCCTGGCTCT